GTGTGGGTGTGGGTGTGGGTGTGGGGTGTGGGTGTGGGGTGTGGGTGTGTGGGTGTGTGTGTGTGTGTGTGTGTGTGTGTGTGTGTGGGTGCGTGTGTGTGTGTGTGTGTGTGTGTGTGTGTGTGTGTGTGTGTGTGTGTGTGTGTGTGTGTGTGTGTGCGTGGGCGTGTGCGTGTGCGTGTGCGTGTGCGTGTGCGTGTGCGTGTGCGTGTGCGTGTGCGTGTGCGTGTGCGTGTGCGTGTGCGTGCGCGTGCGCGTGCGCGTGCGCGTGCGTGTGTGTGTGTGTGGGTCTGCGTCTGCGTCTGCGTCTGTGTGTGTGTGGGTGTGGGGCTGTGTGTGTGGCTGCGCGCGCGCGAGTCTGTATGCCTGTTCACGTATGTGCGTTCGCGCGCGGGCGTGTGTGCCTGTGCGCATGTGCGCGAGTGAACATGCGCGCGTGAGCGCGTGTGCGCAAGTGTGCGCGCAGTCTGTATGCCTGTTCACGTATGTGCGTTCGCGCGCGGGCGTGTGTGCCTGTGCGCATGTGCGCGAGTGAACATGCGCGCGTGAGCGCGTGTGCGCAAGTGTGCGCGCATGCGTGTCGCGGCGCCCGCGTGCGCGGGCAAACGGCGCACGGGCGCGCGTGTGCAGGCAGGCGGGCGGGCGGGTGGGCGGGCGTGCGCGCGCTTGCGTGCAGGCGAGCGCGCGTGTGGGCGCGCAGTTTGGCGCGTGAAAGGCGCGCAGGCGAGCGGACGGGCGGGCGGGCTGGCGCGCGCGCGCACGCGCGCAGGCGGGCGAGCGGGCGTGCGTGGACGGGTGGGTTTGGGCAAGCCGCCGTCCCCCAAAACTCAATCCTCCCGCGCGCAGGTGTGCCTTTCGCAGAAGTGAGCCGAAGACACGGTCCCTTTCAATCACCTCAGCGCCGGCAACCACGCGCCAGCTGCAAGCCGAAATCAGGCAGCCACTGACATGAGCCGACTCCCAGAAACCTGGAAAGAAAAGGTTACTGGTGAACACAAGTAGACAGAACAGGAGAACCGCTGGCTAAAGAGCTGCTTGCGCCAGGTGAACATCTTGAAGCTACACACATGTATGAACCATAATCCTAGCAGGCAAACAATAGTCCCAGAAACCTTGGCGATATTTGTCCATGTAGCAGGGAACGGCCACCCCTCCCCACCTCCTCAAAAAGGTCGCTGTACATTTTCAGCCGCTCCACATCGTCGCCTGACTGCGGCGGCGTGCAACGTGGCGCGTTGTGGCTGTGTTGATGCAGGCTGATTGGGCGTGGAATTGCGCTGCCGCTGAGGCGAACATATCTCAAGACCCCCAGCAAACGGTGTGATTTCCTGTTGATTCCCGCCCTGAACATCTCAGACCTGCGCTGGCGTGGCCAATCGTTCAATGCCATGTTTTTCCCCAGCGCATCAAGTAGCACACACAGTCTGTTTGAAGGGGCCATCCATTGCGGCCGCTGCAGGTTCAGCCCACTGTGGTGCGTGCGCACGCGGGCTGTCAGAACCAGCTGTGAACTCAAAATGCTCATGAACGACTGCGTGCTGGGCGACCAAAATTTCCCAGAGTACCTTGGAGAAATGCGTCAGAAGCCCCAAAGCCGGCGCTGCTTCCATGAAGCATGATTCGGCTGTCCGACGCATCGTTAGACAGTCTTGCGCGGGGCTCGCGGAACCCCGCGCCAGCACAGCCGCTCCCTGTCGGATACACCGGCCTGCCACGCTGTAGCTGCTGGGCAGGTATGGCCTCAGCTTTACTGAGCTCTTTCTTTTTCTCTTTCTTCTTCTCTTGCTCTTTCTCTTGCTCTTGTTCTCGCTCTTGTTCTTTCGCTCCCTCTCCCTCTTGTTAAATTTCACGAGCTAGCGCGGCCGTTTTTGCAAATCCACAGAAGCGTTCTGGCAAATGGGCGGGCTCTCACCCGATGTTTGCGAGTTTGCAACAAGAAACGTTTGGCGGAACACATGATGTGTGGTGGTTGTTGCGTCTCGCGGGCGCACGTTGTATGTCCAATTGGCTGGCTGTGTGAGCTAGTGTTCTGGGCGGCTGTGGCATGAATTGCGGGCAACCCGGCTCTGAGTTGGCGTGCCTCCTCTCAATTCAAACGTGTCAGCGCACGCTTGAGCGCGCGCCGCATGGTGTAGCTTTGGCAGCACAGAGCTGGCTTCGGGGCAGCTGGAGGCAGCTGGAGCATGGCTTCTTGCCGCGCGACATGGGCCGGGAGTGTTTGGGAAGATTGTCTGACATTTAAATTTTGGATTCTTTTTGACAGCGCAGTGAGAGAAGCTAAGATGCGAGTGACAGGCAAGCAGCTCGAGCGTTGCCCCAGGCTCTTGGGGCAGGTCGCATTTTTCACAGCGTGCCCGGTAATTTTGGATGTTTGTGTTTGTAAACCGGCTAGAGCGCCTGCTTTGTTTCAGTGCGACTTGTGCCTCAAACAAGCCAAGAACCCTGTGCTGAATCTGAATTAGCTTAACCTGCCCTAAACCCACCCACAACACCCACATGCAACCTTAAACGCTTGAAAGCCCGCCCTGAAGTCTTTGTGTCTCATTGTGCGGTCGAACGTCTGGATGATGACTTCTTCTGGAGCAAAGCGCTTGCTGCATTGTTCCACGGCTCACAGCCACGCCGTTAAATGGGTTAATTATGCAGTCAGGCCAGCGCACACACGTGATGGTCATTCTCATGATGCACATAACATTCCAATTGATAGACTGATGGCTGCCGCAGACGCGCTGGCGCATGCCAACGCTGATGCTCCACTGCCGCGGAGGCCCTCACCCGATGAGGTCTTGTTGGCGGTGCAGACACCGAACGCTGCAGCGCACTATGACCATCCGCAGCCTCATGTGCGGGCGTGCCTGGTCGCCTTGGAGCAGGCGTTCACCAACAGGGCCTCCCGGCCAAGCCAGGCTCAAGGCGATGTAGGTGGCTGGAGCTACAAGTTGTCGAGATTGCTTGAAGCCCTTCTGGCGGCGCGTCTTCTTAAATCAGCGGCCGCTCAGCTGAGGATCACATGCAATGTCGACCAACTAGACTGTTATTGCTCCATCGAGGCTGTTGGCGTTCAATATGAAATATCTAAAGCCGAAGGAGCCTTGCAAGTTGTTTCAAGTTACACTTGCAAGGTTCACTGATAGGGTGATTGGCGTAACTGGTTGAAAACCTTGAAAATTGTTGCGCCCGCCTCAGGACTCTCTACCAGACGTGCTGGTGCGATCTGTGAACTTCTTGATGGGGGCAGGCAGCGCGGAGGAGATCCACAGGAGCATTGCTCAGGATGCGCTGAAGGTTCCAAGCGGCGCCACTCTGTCGCGCGCGCGGCTGAGGCTGGACGTTGCGCTCATGCTGGAGCGCGCCTTGCCCAACGGGAGGGCGGGAGGGAGGGGTCTGTCTTGCGCCCTTGCGGCCAGCGTCGTTTCACGCAAAGACAACTTTCACATCTAATTTTGGAGGACCCCTTAATTTTGGTATTGGTAAGGATTTGTTGGGGTTTGCCTTGTCAGTTGCCACACTGTGTCTCAGGCCAAGCACTCTTCGCTAGGATGCAGCAGCAGTTGTTCGTGAACCTCAGCGCAGACTCTAGCCCACAGGGTGGGACGGATTTTCAATTGACACTGGAGGACTTGGTGGAGCGAAGTCGTTTGAGACCTGGGATGGGCCGCCGTGGTGGTGGCGGTGGTGACATGAGCGGTGTTCTCACCACCACCGTTCTCCCTGTCGCCACGTTGGCGGCCCTGAATACGGACCTAGCCGCAAAGTTTGAGGCAACTTTCAGTTCCATCAAGTTGGACGTCGGATTGGGAAACCTTCGCCAGTACGCGCTCTCCGTCATCGGCTTCTGTTCCGACTTCGGCACGGAGTCTGGTCTTGCGGATGCGCCCTGCCTGCTTCCAACAAGAGTCCTTTTATTGGGTTTCTGATTAGCACTCATAGCTTGTTCAGCCCATCGGTTGCCCTTGTCAATGCTTTGTTTCAGGTGCCCGCGCTGAGCATCGCTGCGCTGGTGAAACAACGCATGGACAAGTCAGGCGGTCTCATCGGCCGCCGGCTGGAGATGGGCTCTGACCAACGCCCTGAAGCCGACCCGGCTGAGCTGGGTCAGTTCTCGCTGCAGAACTGCATATTCGTCCCAGGGACGAAGCACTTGCTGGATAACATCATCAAAGACATGCTGGCGGGGCTCGATGGCTTTCCCACCTTCAAGCAGCAGGTGCAGTGTTGCGTAGAGTCTCGGCCTGCAACATTCCCTCAGATAGCCTTTGACATGGTTGGTTGGTTGTGTACTGTGCTGTACTGTAGTGTGCTATGATGTACTGTACTGTAAAGTGATGTACTTTAACTAGCAAATGGCTCACGTCAAGATGAGCTCAACGGCTTGTGTAGCAAATGGTTCATGTCAACACGGTGTCAACGGCGTGTTTACTGTACTGCACTGTGCTCTCTACTCTCGAGGACATGCTGCATGAGTCCTACGTATGCTGCTGAGTCCTACGTCAAGGACCGCGTGAGAGACACCGTGTTCACCACGCGAGAGTGTTTGACAGCTGGCCGGCTGGGGCGTTGAACCTGGGCTGGTGGGCGTCTCTGGTGGTTACTTTGCGCGAGCTCAAGCTTCGCCAAGGCCGCTAGTGTTGCTGCGAGCCCCTTGTTTGGAAAACCTAGAACACTGACTAATCCCTGGTTCTTTTTTTGTCTAAGCACTTGTTGTCTAAGGGCCGTCGCCGACTGTTTCTATTGTCTAAGACTTGTGGAGTGGGTAGGCTTTGAGTCATTCCGTAGCACCCTGAAGGCGCTTTGCGCACTTTCTGGGACTTGCCAACCAGATGCCAGCTCCAAGCCAAGGGTCAACCAGGGCACAGCCCAGAACTTTGACACTGCGATCCGCGACCCGTACTTCTGGGCGTACTTGGATTTCCTGTTGGTTGCGGCAGGCTCGCTGGAGCGACTGTCGTCGTGGACAGAATGCTGCCATTGTCATGCAGCTGGTTCGGCTCCTTTGCAAGGACCTGTGTCTCAAGACGCTACGCCAGCTCCTGCTGTTGTTCGTCCATGTTTATCCGTGCAGTTCTTGTCAGGTTTCCTGCCCCGTTTCTTCAGCGGTCCTTTCTAGAGCAGTTCCCCCCTTGCAGGTGTGAAGCGGAAGCGGCGGGCTTCTCCTTCTTCGGCCAGCGCAGTTGTCGCCTTTGACCCTTGCCAGAATGCAACCGGTGCCCGTACAGGGGCAGACGCTGCCCCGACTTTGCAAGCGGCGCGTGGGGCGAATTCTTGGACTCGGCGCCCTGGCCGAGAAAGAAATTGGAGGGCGTCGAACCTTCTTGGTGTTGCAGGTAGAGTTGCCTGATCTCGCTTTCGAACCCCCTTGAGGCTAATCTCAACCCCTGATAAAAAAGGGAGGGAAAGGCCGGGTGTTTGGAAAAAAGAGAGGTTGGACTGGGTGCTTCGTTCGGGGGGCCCCGCAACTGTGGTGGGGCATTTTGTGAGTTTAGACTTGTCAGTTGTAAACTAGAATTCGGGTTCTGGCAAATCTTTTGGTGTTCACACCCCGCTGATGCGAGGCAATTTCTTGTCCTTGATTGGCAGCACGCTGGCTTAGTGATTGACGCAGAGCGAACGTTGCGTGGCTTAGTGACTGACGCGGCGCAAACCCTGCGTGGCTTTGTGACTGACGCAGAGCGAACCTTGCGTGGCTTGTGGCTTAGTGACTGACGCGGAGCGAACCCTGCATTGCCTAGTGACTGACGCCTGGGTGGCTTCGTGACTGACTCACGGTGAACGCTGCGTGGCTTAGTGACTGACGCGCGGTTGTTGGCAGCTTGTGGCTCTGGCAGTGCAGGAGTGGCGAAGTGCTCCTTGTTTGGCAATCGCTGCACACATGTGCGTGTCTGGAGGCGAAAGACTGAAAAGGTGGCCTCATGAAGGACCAGCAAATGCTCAGGCTGCCATCTTGGTCAAGCCGAAAAGGCCAGACAGGCCGAGTTCAAGGTTGGAAGTTCTTTTTCACGGCGAACAAAAATTTCCTGACCAGGTAGCCTCCGCGGCCAACAGCCAGTTCATCATGGTTGCGTCGCAGCTGGACCACGGCGGCCGGCTGCAGCAGGCGCTTTTTGGTGACTGGAGCAAGGCGTGCGAGGTGGTGTTTGCCGAGCTGAGAGCGAAGACAGGCTTCTGGCGACACTTGCCTTGGAGGCTGTACGCCGTTTGCACGGCCCTGCATGGCGAAGAGGAGGAAGGAGGCCGCGTGCACGCGCGAGGCATCTGCCGCGTCTTCGACTCCGAGGCGGTCGACCCGGTCCGAGCCTTCGGCAGGAACCACCGCATGACGCGGCGGTTCCTCCACGCCCAGGCGCGTCGCGGGCGTCTCGCTCAGCTTTGACCCCCATCGCTTGCTTTGGGCCTAAACGAACCAGCTTGGCGCATGTGTCGGGCAGTTATTGGAAAACACAAAGCCCGCGATCGATCCAGACCTCGTTCCAGACGTCCAGATCACCTGCAGCAATTGTTGCAGCCACTGGCCCCGCCGGCCCGCTCCGGCTGCTATGCGACAGCCTCCTTGATGGTGCGGCCAAAATACCCAGGCCCGCGCTCGATCCAGACCCCGTTCCAGAACAGACATCCGGATCACTTGCATTTTTGTTCCGGTCGACCAGACGGCCGCGCTTGGCGCCTAGTATCCGCAGAGAACCAGAGGTCATGTTGCCTGACCTTCGGGGGAAGAGCCTTATCACGCGAGGCTTCCGCGAGGA